CTTGCCGGAATGCTTAAATATAGTGGGTATGACGAAATAACAAGAGTGGTTTTTGTAAGATGTTTCAACGAAGTAGGGAACTTAGAAGTGAAAAAGTATGGAACTTTTTAGTATTTTGAATTAAAGGAAGCTATCGGAGTGCGCTATCAAACGTATGGTAAAGATAATCGATCGGTTTGTATTTGTCAGACATGGCAATTCCGATCGGCCGAGCCGCGCGGCCCGGCCGGCGGCCTAATTTCCATAAAAAATGCGGCCCCCTACGAGCCGCCGTAATTAGTTACTTCCGGAAATGCGGCTTTGCGGCCCAGCCGCATTTTGATCGCGGCTCGGCCGGGCCGCTGCGGCCAAGCCGCAAACCGGAAGTGGCTCATTTACATACGAAAAATCCGCGAATTTCATGCGAAATGGGAATGGTAATTAGAAAATTAAGGTTGTCGAATATATATTTTCCTCATTAGCACGCTAAACACCGATTGCATCGCCGATTTACGTACCGGATGTACTCAAAACTCATTTGGATGCGGCCTTAAAAGCCGCGCGGCTTGGGCCGCCATGCGGCCTCAAAACAAAAAAAAAAGCCGCGGCCGCGCCGGAAGTGCGGCCAAGCCGCGCGGCCCGGCCGCATTCTAATTTTTGCGGCCGAAAAAGCCGCGCGGCCCGGCCGATTGCCATGTCTGGTATTTGTTACATGTAATCCTGGTTGCAAAAGATATCCATATCCCAAAATTAGTCATATTAGCGTAAAACTAAAGATACTTCCTACCGGCACCCTCATACGTAATACTTCAAAAAAAAAAGTTGCCAGCGGCGCTTTGTAGACGCACTAAAAACAATAACGATGCAAGGGGGCAAATCAGCAAAATCTATGTTCCAGGGCGGGGTTCGAACTCGAGCTACAAGCCTTCCCAGACAGCCTGCTAACTACTTGGCTAGGAGGAAACCGATAGCCTATCTTAGGGAATAACACCCCAGAGCCTCGAAACTATTTTTAAAATTTTAAAGGGGTCGTTATTTAACTTTTTTACCGCCAAAATTTAAGGACCCTGTAAAAATCTAAGGACCCCGATATTTTTTAAGGACCCCGTTAAAAGTTAAGGACCCCGATATTTTTTTAAGGACCCCGATAAAAGTTAAGGACCCCGTTAAAAGTTAAGGACCCCGCTATCAGTATAGAGCCAATTTTTCGCCTGCGGCGCTGTTTTCTCGTAAATTTTTTGAGTTATTCGAAAAAATTTTTCGGGCCCCCCCCCGAAATTTTTTTCTGGCTACGTCCCTGGAGGGCGTTGACCCAAATTTCGGGAGCCTCCGCTCCGCTCCTCAGATTATCAAAATGAAAAGCTTGGTCAATTATATCCTAAATAATAGTTTTGTTACCTATAAAAAACTATTATTCCAGCAAAAACAAGGCATACCACAAGGGCAAAACTGTAGCCCAATGATTGCAGATCTAACATTAATATTGAAGAATTCTTGTCGGAAATTTACCCTATCGAATTAACTTTAGAGCAAACTAACGTAGATAAACTGGTCCCCAATCCTACACACGTCTGCCCCGGTCCCGCTATTGCGCGCCCCCAGGCATACGGTACCCCCGCCCCACCCCCACTCCCCAGTGCCCTTTCAAACTGTTTTAACTTATTTATACAACCCTGGGGAGGTTTTTAATAGATTTTTAAAACTAAAATGTTAAAGTTCCTGAGGAGAACTGTCGTTTAATAACTTTTTTTTTGAAAACAATGACTTTTTGAACGAAAACACAGTGGTGATAGGTTTAGTGCTGCTAGGTTCATAATAAGAACAACTTTTTGTTGGCTATAACCAAGGAAACTTTTAACCGGAAGTTCCTAAATTTGTTAACATATTGTTTTCCATGGTTTTCTGTTAACAAATGTCTCTCGTTGACCGCTTCTCGGGATCATAAGTTATACTTTGAGGGGATGTAACGTCAGTTGATCAATTCTTCATTGTTGTCACGATCAAGCAACCCTTTTCAAAAGCAGAATCTTTTACGAAGCAACCTAGCTTTGCACCGCCTGGTGCCGATTTTCAAAACTATATGGATCACGTAAGCAGAACCGCCTACTATAAATCTTGAAATGCTAAAAACACGTGCTTCTATTGGCAGAAAGCATCAGCAACACCGTCAAATGTTTCCTAAACCCAGAATCAAAACATCACCTCCGTCCGAAGCCAGTACTGACAAAATTCAAAGCTAGCAGCGACAATTTTTCTAAATTGAGCACTTTTTTCCTATTCGAGACACTACCTCCTAAAAGTCGTCAAAATATAGTTCTCCTCAGGAACTTTAACATTTTAGTTTTAAAAATCTGTTAAAAACCTCCCCAGGGTTGTATAAATAAGTTAAAACAGTTTGAGAGGGCACTGGGGAGTGGGGGTGGGGCGGGGGTACCGTATGCCTGGGGGCGCGCAATAGCGGGACCGGGGCAGACGTGTGTAGGATTGGGGACCCGTTTGATGACTACAAATTTAAGGTTACACGCCTTCCTAATTATCGATCTAATATCTCATATGCTATAAAACATGGCTGCGTGGAAGGAGAAATTATTAGAATAGCACGTAAATGCTCAGAACAAACTTCCTTTACCAAGCACCTTAACCAACTCATATCGCACTTACAAAATAACGGGTATCCGAAGCCTATTCTACTTAGTCTATGCAAAAAAGTTTTTACCAAATACCCAGCACTTGGCATTAAACACAATTGTGACCATAAAAATATTCAACATTTACTTTCGTAATTCTAACATAGTTTCTTCTTCATTTTAACCTTTTCACTACTGATTTTCCTTTCGTTTTAATATCCTTAACATTTCTGCCATAATTCTTGCCCGTAGACTACAAGCCGCTACTATGCCATCCTTTACCTAGCTTAAACGAATCAGCAGACTAGGCTGTAGCAAGCAGAAAAGAAATGAAAAACTACTTCCCCGGATTCAAAATTAAATTTCTTAACAATCCCGAATCAGTTTTCCTTTTATAGATACTATTCCACATTATTTTTACTATTTTATTGTCCGCTAGGGCTTCCAACTGAGGAGACCCGACCCTAGCGAATGTTTTGCCTGTCTTGGACAAAGGGTCGAAACAGGCCTTTCTAAATTATTTTAACTAATTGAGCTCATTTGAGCAATTACTCTATCGTTTTTTCTAACTTTCATTACTAACTATATATTAATAATCTATTTTCCTTTATTTGTATTTTTCTGGGACATTTTTTCCACATTTTCGCCTAAAAATCGGGGCTAGTGCCAAACAAGATCTAACACCCCCTATCTGGAGGGGGGGGGGGGGATTTTCAAAAAGACAGTTCCGTAAAACTTATATTAAAGTCACTTTATTTGCGATTCTCTATCGATTGATGCACGCAGCGCAGTGATTTTCCAAATGGGTTCAAGGGAAGGCGTTGCTACAGTAACGAAACGGTAACCGTGCAGAGAAAAAAAAAAGAAAAAACTTACAATACTATAACAAAAATACTCCTTACCTATAAAAACGCCTAACTGCTGCGGATTCATCCTGTGATGATGTGAAAGATTGGGTCCAGGCTCAAAACCGAGTTTTCGTATCTCGGCGCGCAGCGCCGCTAGCGCTCTGATTTCTTCGATATTGGTGACGGCAAGTTCTCAGGAGTCCAAAACTTTTGTCAGAATTGAAATCGGACCACGGGAACATATATATCTCGAGGGCCGTTTTGCACCCACCTGTCACGCCCTGGAAAAGTATGAAGACGTGGTCGGATCGTTCTGATTTCTTCACCAATCGACTCAGCGTGCAAAAAGTTAGGCCCCCGGATACTTTTTCAGAAAAATCCACCAAGTCGTTGCGAAGTTGACTTCGGGATGACTTCGGTGCACAGGGGATTCTCAACAACAAAGGGAAAGGATCCCCCCCCCCCCCCTTAGATCATCTAAATGAAAGATTTTTTACTTAGATTATCTAAGGGGGTATTAAATTTTTTGGCGCGATTTATCTCGAAAACCACGCCAGATTGGCTTTCGGGGTAAACGGGATCGAGTTCACCTCATTTTTCTACGTCGGATAAGTATTTTTTAAAGAGCGTAAAATTCTTTACTTTTTTTAGAATTTAAAACGAAGTTTGAGTAGCTGACCCCCCCTTTGACCATTTGTGTCTAGGGGGCGGTCTAACCCTCCCCTTAAATGATCTAACCCCCCCCCTATAGATTATCTAGGGGGACCATTAGATCATTTAGCCCCCCCTTAACTTCAATCTGTATAAGATCCATCAGAATTATTTTCGAAAACACCATCGGATAGAGGAGGTTTTTATCTCCTAGAAAAGATAACTACTGAATATTTTGACCTTTAACTTTTGCGTACCCGGATGGTCTTTGTGGGCCCGGTTTGGGCCGTAAAGGGGGTCTAGATGATCTCAAGGGGGGTCTAGATCGATCTGGGGGGGCTAGAGTTTATTTGGTAACAGCCCGGGTTTTTCTCAATGTTAGTATTCCTAGCGTAAGCCAAATGATACACCAATCGATGCAGCAAAATCTCGCGCGTCTTTCTATGCTAATTTCAGGTTTCGCTCGCACACTAAAATTCGAAAATCTCAAAAAACCGTTTTTACTATTCTATTTAACCATGTTCCGGTCAGTTTCGCGTTTTGCAATGTATTAAAGAAATGATCCCCATCCCAAATCAAATGCTGTCACAAATTTTCTGCAAATTCGGTGCAGTAGCTTTCGAGATGGTTTTTCGGGGTTGGCAAATTTGACTCCAATTTAAACCCCAAAAATTAACTTTTAAAACTTTCAAAACTATGCAGCCCTGCTAATTCGACCATGCTTTTTCAGATGGCGTCATAAGAACAGGGTCGAGAAAACTATGCCAAGCTATAATGAGGACTGTTCGAGTGACTCGCAGACGGCCTTTTAAACGTTCTCGTTGTTGAACCTTGGTGTCACAAAGAGATTATTTTATTTTTACTTATATTGGAACCCTCGTATTTAGTGATTTTATTGATCCACAAGTAAGATCAGCATCCGTTTTGTGCCATCCTCACAGACGATGCCGCCGACGAAATCTGGAATGTTCCGATGATCTTTTACGGATTTTCAAGCAAAATATCGTCATAAACCATAGTATCGATTTCAAGGCGCTCTTTCCGGGGGCTGCGGGCGGGGGGTGTGCGTCGGCGTGTGCGTCTGTGTGTGTGTATCTGTGTTAGGTTTCTCGAGATGCTGTCCAACGCTAGCCTGAACACGAGTTACAGTAAGCTGTTGAGAAGTGTGGGCGCAAGCGACGAGCTCCGAAATTCGTAAAACTTTTCCCGGTTAACGACTCGTCGTCCGGTTTTGTTGTCACGTGGCAACACTTACTCTTGTTCGCGACACGAATTTTGAAGTAGGCTCGAGGTGGGGGCTCTCGAAGTTTCTGAAATATTGTAAAACAAATCAGTATGCGGGATAGGGAGGTAGAGAAAGAGAGAGAGAGAAAGAGAGAGAGAGAGAGAGAGAGAGAGAGAGAGAGAGAGAGCGAATTGATTATCCTGCTAAAACCCCCCACTATTCCTGTTCAGGCATGAATAAATCACCTTTTGTTTGATGATTTCCTGGAGGAATTTTGCCTCCTCTGTCCTCTTATCAACAAAATCCATCGCCCCATTATAAATCGTCACGATTCTTCGTTCCAGACGTTGCTATAAACGAATGTAATTAGCATCTGGGTAAAGGGATCGGTCCAATAAGAAGACAACCGTTTCACTCACCAAAAAACTATAAATATCGATGGGATCAGGATCTGCTGGTTCATTTTGAACACATTTCGCTCCCAGTTTGAAGAACATTCCGCGTTGTTGGGGCCTGGCTGGGAAAAATCCGAGCTGGAAAAAAGCCTTAAAGGGACGGGGCCAGCTCGTCGGATTTGCTTGAACTTGCATAAATATGCATCGAAACCTTATCCTGAGAATATAGGGGCCTGAGAAACCATCAATAAAATAAATTTTTCAACTTAGAGGTGGATAGTTATCAGGATTTACCGCATCATGCACATTAAAATAAGCAAACAGGAAACCTAATGGTACCAGTAATCGACTGGCCTTCGGGCTACCCTCCATGTTATACACAACCCCACAACCACATTACACCTCTACCTTCATCAATACCCACGCTGGTCGCTTCAGATACCTTCTATGGCCACACCCCTGCAAAAACTTAGCTACCTAAACTACGATACCTTCCGGATGACTTCAGATACCCCCATAGCCAAATTCCCTTCAAAAACTACCTAAATACCTTCCTGTTGACTTCAGATACCCCCCATAGCCGAAATCCCCATCAAAAACTACAATACCTTCCTGATGGCTTCAGATACTTCCCCTAGCCGAAATCCCCTTAAAAAACTACATCGATACTTTTCTGATGGCTTTAGATACTTCCCCTATCCTAAATCCACTTAAAAAACTACATCGATACCTTCCTGATGGCTTTAGATACCTCCCCTAGCCTAAATCCACTTAAAAACTAAAATAACGACCGACCGGATACGTGGGAGAAATAAAAGGAATGAAATGGCTCTCGTGAAAATTTTCATCGACGAAACGCGCGCGACCTGGCTCACGATGTCCAAAATCACCCCAACCTCCGTCCCCCACCCCTTTTACTAAGGAAAAACTTTCAAAGTTAATTTTAATAATTTAAACTAAAACTTTTTCGTAATTTTTTTTATCAGTTTGGGGGTTACTGACCACGCTCTATCCGAATCCGAAGAGACCTAAGCTCTAGCTCCTTTCCCCTTCGAGTTGAATCCGGGACATGACGGACGGACGGACACCACAGCAAAATTATTATAGTAGATAATGTTGCGTCATCCCCTGAGAGCTCCTTAAAAACTAAAAACCCAAAACACCCAAGCTTCTCTCGAAACCGGCCAGAATAGCCCATTTTCGTCAAATATGGCTGAGGCCATAACTCCTTCAAATCACGAAATTATAAATTTTCCATTTTGGACGACGGAGAACAAGCAAATGTTACCAGAAACACATAGGAAAAGTCATGGTGACACGTAGTCCCCGAACTTAGAACCCTTAGAACTTAGAATTTCGACGAACTGAAGGCGCGGCGCACCGTGATTTTTGGTCGTGTACATCATGCAATGAAACTCGCTCAAAAATCATGCTTCAAAGAAACTTTCTAAAACAGATTGCTGCCTTGGACCTGTCTGAAGCTAACCCTGTTGACAAAACTTCCCGATTTTTTTGTCGCGAATCAGATATAAGGCAAAAGCCCGCGACAATACTTTTGCCGCACCCTGTATGCTTGGCAGGAACTGACCTCGACCATCCTCAGAAAATCGGTCGTAGATAGCGGTTCATCAGAGAATAGCCGCACGTCTTTAACAGATCCAATGCTGCCCTCACCATTCCACATTGTTGTACAACTGGCACAGCTCCATAGATTCTCCGTCCACGGCTTCTAAAATAAATCGCTCTCTCTCTCTCTCTCTCTCTCTCTCTCTCTCTTTCTCTTTCTCTTTCTCTTTCTCTTTCTCTCTCGATCTCATTCTCCACGCACCATTCTACATCGTCGGCAACGCACAACGTCCTTCAGCTCGCGCTCCTAAAATACGGTTCTCACAAGGGATGGATTTTCGGGCGGACATCGGACCTACATATGCGAATATGGTCATCTTATCGAGCCCGACGAGATGAATAGTATGCTGTAACTTCTAGCTGCGGATATACATCATAATCAAACTGTCACAGCTGTATCAGATGTATTCTACGCCCGCAGATAGCAAAAAAAGTCCCAAAAAACATAAAAATAGAACGAAGTTCGAACCCTGGTTAGTTACCCGAGGCAGCCTACCAAACCATTGGGCTACCAAGAGAGGTTTGTAGTGGCGCGACGAGGGCCTATGAAAGTATGGCCAAATACTTGAAACCGCCGTAGCTTTTTTAATCTCGGGTACCCGCAGTCAGAAGTTACATCATGCGATTTGTCCTAGCGAGCTCGATAATATGAGCACACTCACATAGGTAGGTCCGCTGCCCGCCCGAAAACACTGCCAGGACCAATTGTTAGGTTGGAATAACGTTGGCGCATTCTTTTTCTGTTTGTTTCATATTTATTGCCGACCAAGGGGGGTCTCTTATTACAAATTTCACGATGATTCAGACAGGCATTAAATAAGAAACTAGCAAATGTACGGCCGGGAATATTTTCTGCATTTATTCACTAAATTTTGTTGAGTTCCTATGTTTATCAGACACTTCCTCTATTTACATTATAAAAACTGGAAGCAAATTGTCAGGCAAAAAAATCCCCCCCCCAACCGGGCCAGCTCCAACAAAATGGGCCAATTTTTGGATTTTTTTGAGTTTTTCTCGATATTCTGGAGGTCTCCATGCGCGAAACCCCCAAAAATAAAATAAAAAATTTTAAATTTTAAAATGTAAAATTTGTGTAGAAAAAAATTATCGACCACGGGCTCGCATCACGCACTCCAACACATCAAAGATCAGCGCCCACTCCCCCAGGAAGTTTTATTAGCTACGCCCCTGCCCCCGAATTCCAGCCATAGTCTTGACAGCCAAAATCCCGACGCGTCAAAATCCCGATATCCAGAAACTCCCCATTCTGAAACCGTTTTCGTACCTCGTCCACAAGGCATAATTTTCGGGCATTAATTCGAGAGATGGCCTCAAAGCGGCGGAGGAAGGTGTTGCTCGACACACTCAATCGGAGCGTGGAGGTCACGCGGAACGATCGGTACAGGCTGGCAACCTGTAAAAATTAAACTCCCGGTTCTTCCCTATCCGAAAAACGCTTCCCTGAAGCTCTAGGTGTGTCATTTTCACCGAGGTTGCATTGCAAATGCGCACAGAGACACAGACACTATTTTTTTTTATTAAGTACAGTGTGTTTCAAAATGATAGGACCCAAAACCGACCCTGAGCCGACTTACATTAAAGTGCCGGTCTTCACTGTCGAACTCGAACTCGTGTTGAGCGCGTCGCTGCAAGAAGCGTTAAAGACGAGATCCTACTATATATAAAAAAATAGTCGTACTATATATAAAAAAATAGTGTTTGTGTGCGTGTGTGCCACTTTGCATGCAACTTCCGTCAGCGTGTTCCAGTAGTATCTCAAGAAGGAGAGTAGTTAGGGGCGTTTTTGATACGTCATAAGGAGCGTAATGGTCTGGAGATGACTGCACACATATCGGATTGACCAAAATCGCCTATTTCCGGCATTAAATTTTAGTTTTTGTTGAAAAATCCGAGACCCTCTTTGTTGGGAATCAATTAGCCCACACCGGAAGTGGCGGCAGCCTTTTAAAGGAGCAGAGAGCGTATTTTATATATATATATATATATATAAAATATAAAAAATAGTGTTTGTGTGTGTGTGTATGACACTTTGCATGCAACTTCCGTCAGGTTGTTCCAGTCGTATCTCAAGAAGGAGAGTAGTTAAGGTTATGTTTGATACGTCATTAGGTGCATAATGTCCAGGAGATGACTGCACACAAATCAGATTTATGAAAATCGTCTATTTCCGACATTAAATTTTAGTTTTTGTTGAAAAATCCAACGCCCTCTTTGTTAGGAATCAATTAGCGGTTCTGTTTTATTTCGCGTGGGGGAAAAAACTGTGCGGGGGGGGGAGGGGATTTTCTTCGTTTTTTTATAACTCTTTTATATGATGCTATTTTGAGTTGTCAATAAAACTCTTCGTATATTTTTTGACGCTCTATCGAATGGCATTAAAGAAATTTTTGAAAGTTATTGAAAATGTCGAAAACTAGCTTTCGACTCCACGATCCCATGTGGAAACACCGAACAAACCTTCTTTTTGCTATAACTATTTTATAAAACTACCAGGGTTGAAAAGCCGCTTCGCGACTTTTCAACCCTGGCCCCGTCTGTTGCATAATTGTCCTAAATTCAGATGACCAAAAATGAAAAACAACCTCTTCTACCTCTTTATATAGTCGAATCCCCACTTCCGGTCTATGCTAATTATTCCTAACAAAGAAGTTTTCACAAAAACTTAAATTTAATGTCGAAAATAGATAATTTTGTTAAATCTCATATGCGTGCAGTCATCTCCAGGCCACTACGCGCCTAATGACGTATCATCCTACCTACCTTAAAATTCATCCCCTATCGAGATATCCTCCGGACAGACAGACGGAAGTGGATGCAAAGTGGCAAACACACACACACAGACACTATTTTTTTATATATAGTAGGATACCAGGGTTGAAAAGCCGCTTCGCGACTTTTCAACCCTGGCCCCGTCTTACCCCAATACTTCTATCACTTTGCATAAACACCTGAATTCCTGTGCAGAAAAATCAAAAACGCGTCCTCTCCCCCATTATATAGGCTGCCCCCACTTCCGGTGTATGCTAATTGATTCCTAACAAAGAGTCCGAGCTAGATTTTGACAAAAACTTAATTTTAATATCGAAAACAGCTGATTTTTACAAATTTCATATGCGTGCAGTCGTGTCATGACCATTACGCACCTAATGGCGTATCATACGTACCCTTAACTTCCTCTCCTATTGAGATAAGATTGGAACATACGGACGGAAGTTGCATGCAAATGCACACACACATACACACAGGCACTATTTTTTTATATATAGTAGGATTGTTAGATTAAATTAAAACTCTTAGTATATTTTTTTGATGCTCTATCGAATGACGGGTTCAAAATATCGAAAAATTGGCGAAAATGCCGAAAACTAGCATTCCGGAACCAGTTTCAATAGTTTTTTGTTTTTGGTATAACTTCTTTATATTACAAGATTTTTAGCTAAAACAAAAACTCTTAGGATATTTTTTGATGCTCTATCGAATGACGTTGCAAAAATGCCGAGAAAATAGCGAAAAGATGGAAGGTTCCGCGAAGCATATTCCCCCCCCCGCACAGTTTTTTCCCCCACGCGAAATAGAACAGAACCCAATTAGCATATACCGGAAATGCGGAGAGCCTATATAAAGTAGCAGAGAGCGCATTTTCACTTTTTTTTCAGCGTGGGCGTGCCGGATTATGCAACGTGTAAACTTTCATTGGGTTGGATGGGGCCAGGGTTGAAAAGTCGCGAAGCGGCTTTTCAACCCTGGTAAAATTTAAATGTCAAAGTTATAACAATTTTTAAGAGCTAAATATCGACCGATATCAGGGTAATAATGTTCAATTAAGCCATTTCGAGTTTAAATTCGCCTTATTAATATATATTTTGGGTCTTAGTTTAGTACTACGATACATACTGATACATTTAAGAAAAAATCCGGTCGCGCTGCCATAAAAATTCAAAAAGCAAAAAAAGACGCCAGGCGGGGTCGAACCTGGGCCAATTTCCTGGTAGGGACTTAGTCAAGAAAAGGACCAAATTTCTATTGAGGCTGTATAATCCGCCAAATCGACGATTCGTGAGCGAAAATATGCAAAATAAGTCCCAATTTCCCCCCAAAAAAGGTATTTTTAGACTATGTAGAAACCCCCGGGCCGGCCCGGCCCGGCATTGTTCAATTTCTCGGCCCGGCCCGGCCCGAAAAATGCCGATTTTTCTCGGTCCGCAAATTCCCAGGCCTCCCCCCGCATAACCGACATATACACGTTCCTCATGGGAGCGCCTGATAAACCATCCCCGGTGCTAATATTTTTCGCATGTAGATCAGCATTTTTCGGAAGTGCGGTATCTCTGTCCACGGGTGCATTCAGAAAAAAAACTGACAAGTGCATCGTGACCGCAATGGCCGGTTACCTACAGGGTGCGTCAAAAAAAAAAAGCCAAGTTTGCACCAAAATATCTCGCTTATCTTTGAGAATCGAAGGTACGTTACCATGCCAGAATGCTTAAATATGCTGGGTATGAAGATTTAACACAACTTGATTTTTTCGATTTTTGAGTACGCAACTGTACTATTGACGCTGGTTACGACCGAAAATTGTGCGTTCTTGAACGGGTGGTGGGAAAATTCTGATTTTTGGCCTATAAATAGTTGACATTTGTAGAAAAATAATAGCAAAGTCTTAGAATTTTTGAAGGTTTAGTTCTTTTTTTACAGGCAAAACAAATTTCCCTATTTTGCTTATTTTCACTTTTTAATTCGCAACTCGCTTCAAATACGCTGCCCATGGCTGATCTTTTGCAGATGGTGTCTCCGAATGCTAATCTTTAGCACAACACCAAATTTTACCTGATTCTATGGTGTTTTAATATTGCTTGCTAAAACGTGCCCCAGAGGGATACTGTAGTTTTTGTTTATCGCGTTTTCTTGTTATTGCAAGCTGCGATTTCGCTTAAAATTTTATCATTGGTAAACACCAGTAAGGGTCACCTATGGGCTAAATCTCGCGAAGTTCTAGCCATATACCTACCCAAAATATGCAAAAAACTTATTTTTGAATTTAGCCACGGAAATTTCTAAATATTTTGATGCATCGGACTGAAAACTACTATTATTTGTTTTCCTGAAAGATCGAAACGTTTCTATGGTGAAAAGAACGAGAAAACGGCGATTTTCTATTTTCTACCGTAACCCGCCTGGAGCGCGTTTTAGCATGCCAAGACAAAATGCCATAAAATCCCAATTTTTCTATTCTAGACTGTTCACTGGGCGATTGTAAGAACACCTACAAAAAATTACTTGATTCCTGTGGCAAATGACAAAGTTATCAGGGAAAGAGGAAAACCCCCCTCGGGCCCCGATTTTGGACCCGACGCCCTGGCTCGAAAATCGAATTTTTGAAAATGAAAAAGGCTCCGGGGTTTGGTGGATCCAATTAAAGCACGCATTGAACAGTGTATGAGAGCAGAATTCTGGAAGGATCTGGCTGAAGTTAATGGTCAATTTTTATTTAAAACCCGAAAAAAACGTTTTTTGAAAAGCCGACTTTGGGGAGCTCTTCTAAATTCGTTTGCTATGAAAAGGTTTTGTATTTGCATGGGTTCTAGTTGACTATCCAGGCTTGGTCTATGCCAAAAAAGTCGAGGCTACTAAAGCCTCGAGAATTTTTTTTTACGTCGCCCCGAATTCGGGTATATTTGGACTCTTCATGAATTTCTTCTGAGAGATCAGATGGCCCAATAAATTTGTAATTATAATCTTAGAATGCGCCAGTTAAGAGGCATCAAATAAAATTATGACAGTAATTTTAGCCGCGCAAATGAATTTTATAGACTGGCATGAAGGTCTGCGAAATAGCACAAACCAACCGTTTTGGAAGCGCTAAAAGGCAACCTTCCAAAGGTGTACGGTAGCTATAAATTGCCTACGTGATAGATGGACCCCAGTCCTACACAACCAAGCAAAGAAAACACCAAAATTCTATCTGCAATTTTAGAAATATTTTTCCAAAGGTCAGTTTCGTGACCTCGAAAGAATCCATGACCAGGGGGTCGTCGAAAAACTCAAAAATCCGCGGATCTGAAAAAATTTTTTGATGTTTTTGCGGGATTGTATCGAGACTATAGACATGCTAAAACAGTTTATTTTGAGGTTTCCACCATAGGTTTTTGTAATATTCGAAATTTACGAAATTTCTCTATATTCAAATTTGAGCATGCTATAACTTTCCAAACAGACCTTCGAAAATTCCAAAATTCCGGATGTGCGTAGGGGCAGTCCTTAGGTACCTATACTGTAAAAATTGGAAGTGTTCGACCACCAACAATCCAAAAAAATGCAAACAAAGTTTTGCCGGGACGCACAGTTTTCGGGTGTCATTTGTATGGGTACGTCGCCAAAAATCGAAAAAATCAAGTTGTGTTAAATCTTCATACCCAGCATATTTAAGCATTCTGGCATGGTAACGTACCTTCGATTCTCAAAGATAAGCGAGATATTTTGGTGCAAACTTGGCTTTTTTTTTTTGACGCACCCTGTAGGGGTAGCCATGAGCGTTTTCCGGAATTCCACCCTATCCGCGTGAGATTCCCTTGTAAGGGCATTTTTTTAACCCATCGAATCACGTCTGCTCGAATTGCATCCCATCGAAATTACGACTCATCGAAATTACGACTCATCGAAATTACAACTCCTCGAAATATCGGTTTTGTCAACCAAATTTTTTTCGGTGCAAGCCTAATTTTTTTATAAATAACGGATGCGTTTCTAAATGGTTTTTAACTATTTCTAAGCATAAAAACTATACCGATTTTTATTAAAAATTTAATTTTAGGTCGAGAAACGGATTTTTTTCGGCCAAGAATGACTAAAATTGGGCCGGGCAAAAATCAGTATTGTTTGAAAATTCGATTAGCCGACATCGATGATCGCTGAGATCGCTGCGATCGACGATGATGTAATTTCGATGAGTCGTAATTTCGATGAGTCGTAATTTCGATGGGATATAATTCGATGGGATGCAATTCGATCAGATGTAATTCGATGGGATGATAGCAACTCCCTTGTAAGAGCTTTTTTTATAGCCCGAAAAACCGTATTTAAAGGGCGTCTCGCAGCAGGCCCCTTTTTCTACAAGTCGTGGAAGCGTTGCGGTCGGGGGCGCCGCGGCAGGAAGAGAAAGAGCGCGCCTAGAGGAGAGACTCAGACAGAACTCTGCGTTTCTGCCCGTCCCCAAAAATGCCGTAACTGGTGTGCTGCCAGAGCTGCTTTAAAGTTATCTTTTTCATAAAAAATTTTTTTTAGTGCCCCGTTATTTTATCCCCCCATTTACCCTATGTGTATCTCTTTTTGGGACACGTGTATATCACCGACCTTTGGCGTTGCCGATATATGGAGATCTGGGGCACAAGTCGAAGACGTCTGCAAGAAATTGACGAACCGTTGCAAATATTCGGCGGAAACGCTGAAAGCTACCGTTATTAACATCGACCTGGCCTTGGAATCATCCAAACCATCTTCATCCCTGGCGCTTATGCGAGGGTCTTTATACCATCGAGGGCAGAGACACGGGCACCCGAAGTTTTCCACAATTTGGGTGAAAGCCTCCCGGTGGATAGGTTATCTTTGCCGAGAGCAGTTTCCATACAATACCTTTAACGCCAATCGATAGCTCTTGAGCAGTAGATTCGATAGGTTTTCAGATCATCCAATCGGATGCCGTATGGCGGAGATACGGGCCTTAATCTGGCTCCGTTTTAAAACTATTCACAATTTCGGCTAAGTCTAGTTTTTTCTTATTTTTTACAAGATTTTGAAAGTTGAAAAGATTAAGCCGCTATGACGCTCGATGTACCAGGAGCATAAAAATCAAATATTTTTATTTCCCGCGATTTTTCGACTCAAATGCACTATAGGCTGATTCTCCAGGGCAAGGGCTACATTTTGGTAGGGTTGACAGCTCTGTCGGGCTAAAAATAGCCGAGATGCGAAAACTCACTTTGGAACAGCAAAAATTAACTAAAGAAAACCCAGACTTATCCTACTATATATAAAAAAGTAGTGTCTGTGTGTGTCTGTGGACACTTTGCATAAATGACTCGAAAAAACCGGGTTACCAAGATATCGGGACGGGGGAAGGGTTTTCGGGCCCAGTCGAAAGGTATTTAGGGGTATTCGAGGGCGTAGATTACTGCACGCTTATCAGATTTTTAAGAAAATGACGATTTATACCTTATTTTAGTGTTTTTAAAACATATGGAAATGCCCTCATTTGCATACGAGGCGCCAGGCGGCTCATTTTAGATTTTGTCACGCTCCCAGTCGGTCGCTTTTGTCATTATTGGGGTTGAGCGTTGGCGCTAATTTGCTCGAATTATGTAAAGCGCCGAACCTCTCAAGATCCCCGCACGAAGGCCAGGGGTGAAAAGCCGCGTAGCGGCTTTTCAACCCTGGTAATTGTTATAAAAATTTTTCTGACAATGGTACAATTCGGATAAGCGGGGGGAAACCAACTTTTTTTTTGTCGGCCCTGGTGGGGATAGTAATCAAATATAAAGTGTTTTCACATTGTTTTTAGCAAAATTTAAGCCTATTTGAATCGGAAAAACTTTTTAAAAAGTTAGAAAAACGCTTTAAAAAGTCGAAAATTTGGTCATTTTTGGGCCGAAAAAATTGATTTTTCGACGTAAAATTTAATTTTTTTAATTAAGTTTTGTAAAGTTTTTATGTTTAGGAATAGCTATAAACAATTTAGAAACACTTCCACTATCCTACTATATATAAAAAAGTAGTGTCTGTGTGTGTGTGTGTGTCGATTTGCATGCAACTTCCGTCTCTATGTCCGGAGGATAACTCAATAGGGGATGAATATTAGGGTACGTATGATACGTCATTAGGTGCGTAATGGCTCTGCGATGACTGCACGCATAACAGAATTATCGAAATACGCTATTTTCGATATTAAAAATAAGTTTTTCTAAAATTTTCGAGAACCCTCTTTGGTAGGAAACAATTAGCATATACCGGAAGTAAAAGAAGCCTATAAAAGCCTATGGAAGAAAATCTTTTCATTTTTGTCAGCTTGATCGAGGCTGAATTATGGAAAGTTTACAGTTTCATTTGTCCAAACGGGGCCAGGGTTGAAAAGTCGCGAAGCGGCTTTTCAACCCTGGTTTATATAAAAAATATAGGCTTGGGCGGAAAAAAGTTCGGTTTCCCCCCGCCTAAAATTTCCCCCCGCTTATCCGAATTGTACCCTGACAATTTTTGATGTAAGGAAACAACTTGGCTATAGTTCGACCACCGTGAACATCTTGAGATAACGCCACGCATTAATGGGACGCATGGCTGGAAAGTTACGGCTGGGGGGGTAAACTAGAGTCTTACCACAATTTCCCATTCCCAGATACCATTTTTGGCAAGCTCGCTAAAACTTGCCGATTGATTTTTGAACGCACCGAGAAGATTTTTTCGACAAAAGTATAAGAAATCGGGAAAAGTTCTAACAAGGGAACCTCACGCGCACAGGGTGGAATTTCGAAAAAACTCCCGCGGCTAGCCCTAGATAATCGGCCATTGCGGTCATGATGCACTTGTCAGATTTTTCTGAATGGCTCTGTGGACAGAGATCATCATTTCAGGAAAGTGCTGTATCTCTGTCCACAGGGCCATTCAAAAAAATCTGACAAGTGCATCGTGACCGCAATGGCGGATTACCTAGGGGTAGCCGCGAGCGTTTTTCGAAATTCCACCCTGTGCGCGTGAGGTTCCCTTGTAAGAAATGAGCGAAATTTCAAATATAGGCTATCAGGCGTCCGAATTTAATGATGTGTAGTTCTATCTATATGCACGCCTCAAGAGCTATCAATTAGCTTTAAAGGCATTGTATGCAAATTGCTCACCCACCTTTTTCGAAACTCTTGGGCCTGTATCTCGGTCCTCCATGGTTTTTGGCTGAGGGACTTTTAGCCAGCGGCCCAAAATCTTGATTTTCTTTCCAACCTGATACATAGTAGGAAAGATCCTAATAAATCACGGGCATCTATCTAGCTCTCTCTCTCTCTCTCTCTCTCTCTCTCTCTCTCTCTCTCTCTCTCTCTCTCTCTCTCGCTCTCTAATTTAAAGCGATTTACACGTCGGTGTTTCTGCGGTTTCGCGTACCTGAACGTTTTCCGGTCCGCGCCGAATTCATGATAATTTAACGTCCACATCGGCATGGGATCCCGATTTAAATTTTCACAGTACACTTCGAAAAATCCACCCTCTGGTCCGTCCATAATCAGTATCCCCAAGTGGCTCATCCAAATCTGAAGAGAAGAGTTTGTTCCTTCTGATCACAGCTTCTCGACTTTTAGTCGCCCTCCGGCCAATCTGTTCCGAATTTGGGCTGCGCCTACCCTTTAAAGGTATACTCCGCTCTCGTTTGAATGTTCTAAGATCTTAGCAGGGTTGGTCACAAAGTATCCGGTCCGGATCGGTCCGAGTGGATCCGAGAATTTCGGTCCGGTCTGGACAGAAAAAGACATGATTCAGAAGTCAGATCTGGAAAATTTTATATACAAAATACAACTCGCCAAGAATTCTACCTTATATAATTTTGGGGTGTATCTCTGTGTGTGGGTGTGTGTGGATGTCACTTTCGAGGCCCGATTTGAGGGCCTTCCCGTGTATAAAATGCCTTAATTCTCCGTCACTTGGGGTAATCGACCCTCCTCTTTCCGATGGCGTTTTCAGAATTTCGATAAAATATAGGTTTACAAAGTTAGAGCCGGTTTTATTCATTTTTGGGGGTTCGGGAGGGCTAATTTGCATAATGTGAAAAAATACAAATTTCCTCATTCTTGCCAGTTGCACGCGCCTGTGTGGTCGGTGGGGGAAAGGGGGACCGAAGGACCCGAGCTATCGGAAATTCAAATTTTTCATGCAAGGGCCCAATTCCAGCGCCCAAGGCCCGCGAAGCGGGTTTTCGGCGCTGGTTTGACATATTTTTCGACATCTAGATTACTAGCCGCCGCTTATATAGCCAAAAATTAATGGGGAATGGATAATTTTATACATTTTTATTAAGCGAATTCCCCATTGCGTCATTTTTTGGTACGCCACTCTTCTGCATTCGGACTTTGCATGTTGCATTTCCGTTTCTCCTAGCAAATCAAAACTCCTCGGTGCGCCACGGACCGGACCGGATCCGATCAGGATCCAGAGTGACCAACCCTGGAACTTAGACAATTCCCAGGCATAGGAATTGACCGGGAATAGGAATCTTCAAAAATTTATATGATTTTAGATTTGATTTTCGCAATTAGCATACGTCGGCCCCGTCGGCCTGGCGGATCTGGTCGGCCGAAATCCGATTTTTTTTGGCTCAAAAAGGCCGATTGCCATCCCTGACAAATTGTACTACACCAGCCGATTACAGCCGCTTCGCAACTGTAATCGACTGGCCTTCGGGCTACCCTCCATGTTATACACCACCACATTACACCTCTCCCTGCATCAATGCCCACGCTGGTCGCTTCAGATACCTTCTATGGCCAAACCCCTGCAAAACCTTAGCTACCTAAACTACGATACCTTCCGGATGGCTTCAGATACCCCCCATAGCCGAAATCCCCATCAAAAATTACAATACTTCCCTGATGGCTTTAGATACTTCCCCTAGCCGAAATCCCCTTAAAAAAACATCAATACCTTTCGGATGGCTTCAGATACCCCCCATAGCCGAAACCCCCTTAAAAAACTATATCGATACCTTTCTGATGGCTTTAGATACTTCCCCTATCCTAAATCCACTTAAAAAACTACATCGATACCTTCCTGATGGCTTTAGATACCTCCCCTAGCCTAAATCCACTTAAAAACTAAAATAACGACCGACCGGATACGTGGGAGAAATAAAAGGAATGAAATGGCTCTCGTGAAAATTTTCATCCACGAAACGCGCGCGACCTGGCTCACTATGTCCAAAATCGCCCCAACCTCCGTCCCCCTCCCCTTTTACTAAGGAAAAACTTTCAAAGTTAATTTTAATAGTTAAACTAAAACTTTTTCGTAATTTTTTCATCAGTTTGGGGGTTTCTGACCACGCTCCATCCGAATCCGAAGAGACCTAAGCTCTAGCCCCTGTCCCCTTCGAGTTGAATCTGGGACATGACGCACAGACAGACAGACAGACACCACAGCAAAATTATTATAGTAGATACCAGCGCTGACCCCCCGCTAACGATAGCGGAATGTCCCTTTAATCAGTGATGCAATCGATACCTCTTCAGCATGGTCGTCATCCACGTCTTCATCCTCTACGCAAGCGCCGCCGATGCTTATTGTGCTCGGCTGCCCCGGCATCAGCCATCGACTGTTTACCGCGTGTCTGCAACAGAATTTCTTCAGAATTTCCAAATTTTTAGATTGTCTAACTTTTTGATTCAAGGAATTCATGTCACTTCACGCAAAAGATCAAAGCGAGCCATCGGTCCTACCCGGTTTTTGGAGGTCGAAATAGCATTAAAAATGATTCCGGGACACGTCATGATGATTCCGGGACACTCCGGGACATTCCGAAAAACTTCCTGAGCCCGGCCTCAACTATTCCGGGAATCATTCCGGGAACGCCTTTTTTATTCCCGGAATCTCCCGGAATCTCCCGGAATTCATTCCGTGAATGGTTCCGGGAATCGATTCCCGGAATGCGTTTTCATCTATTCCGGGAATTCCCGGAATAGATTCCAGAGCCCGGGCTCAACTATTGCGGGAATCATTGCGGGAACGCATTGCGGGGACATTGCGGGAATATTCCGGGAAACATTCGGGGAAAGTAGCCACTTTTTCCCGCAATTCCGGCTCATCTACATTCCCGGAATGGTTTCCCGCAATGTAGATGAAACGCATGCCGGGAATGAGAGGCGCATTCCCGGAATGTTTCCCCGGATGGTTCCCGGAATGTCCCGGAGTGTCCCGGAATCATGATGGCGTTAAAATCCTAAATTGTAAATTAGAAATTATTCTTTTTAAAGGTAATGTCAACTTCATGCACAACGGCGCAGTGTGCATGCATCGGAGATAAGGAAAACCTATCGCATTTTTAATGCTATTTTTGATCTCACCGGCCTCAGAACCGATTTTTCACTACGAGATTTTGTGGGCCGGCAAATAACGAGTGTCTAGACAACTCCTGAAAATTTCAGAAAATTTGAGCAATGGGAACATCGATTCCCGGAATGCTGTCCCCGACATTTTGTCGGGGAACCAAACCTTATGTAAAACCATTCCCGGAACTACATTCCGGGAAACTCGAAAAGTTTCCCGGAATACATGAGACGACATTCCGGGAACTCATTGCGGGAACCGTTCCCGGAATGGAGTTCCGGGAATCCATGCCTGGGATTCCCGCAATAGATGAGAAGGCATTCCGGGAATAATTTGCACCACCTTTCCCGGAATGCTTCCCGGAACATTGCGACCAAAATTCCTGAAATTTTCACAGGAGCTTAAAGGGGGCTTCATTAGCTAGTCTACAAAGTTTCTAATTAATTGGGTAGTTCCCAGCGAAGTTACGGAGAATTTTGGAAGTTAAAAAATTGAAACCTTTATTTACCGGCAGGAATGCTATTGGCTACCTCTTCATACAAATACTGGAATTTTTCGCTTTTAACAACTACATTTTTTAATTCGAGGAATTTTCAAGTGTTTGAATTCCGGGAATGTGCTGAGATTCCCGGAATAGATGAACACTAATCCGGGAATGCATTCCGGGAATCGGTAAAAATATTCCCGGAATCGTTTTCATCTAATTCCGGGAATCTATTCCGGTAACCGTTCCCGGAATAGATTCCCGGAATAGAGCTGAAAATGATTCCGGGAATGTTTTTCCGATTCCCGGAATGATTCCCGGAATCATTCCCGGAGTAGGTTCCCGGAATGATTCCCGGAATAGTTGAGGCCGGGCTCTGAAGTCCCCGGTAGTGTTGGGCAATTTGCCCGGTCCGGTTTTCGGGCCGCCCGAAATTCGGGTATACCCGGTCCGTCCGTTTGTCCGAAAACCGGGCCGACCCTCTCGGCACGAAAACCGGGCCGCCCGAAATTCGAGCCGTCCCCCCTCGGCCCGAAAACCGGGCCGACCCTCCCGGCCCGAATTTCGGGCCGCCCGAAAACCGGGCCGACCTTCTCGGCCCGAAAACCGGGCCGCCCGAATTTCGGGCCGACGCTCGCGGCCCGAAAACCGGGTCAACCCGGTTTTACTATGCAAGTTAAAATGAACATCATTTTCGAGCAGTTCCCACAACTCGGCGCCAAACCGCTCGCAACTCATTTGGGGGTCGTTTGGTAGCATTCCTTCGAGGTTGTTGGACACGGCGGACGATTTCGAGACGTTTTTTTTCTAACCGCGCTAGCAGGCTGGGCAAAGCTGGTAAAGAGCTGAAACTCGTTGGGCAGATAGAACTTTTCGCGCTCTTGCGACTGATGCCCTTCTCGATCCAGGAGTCCCAGTGCAGATCGAGATATGATGGTTTTAGTGCGGCGACAACTTCGACAGGTACACCTTCCGGCACTAAAACGCTCCCCTCTCTGTCCCCCGACGGCAGGCCGGTAGTCCCCCCCAAAATCTGCAGATGTCGAAAAAATGATAAGGGGGGACCCTTATGATTTTTGAAAATTTTTGAAAATGGGCGGTAAACGGCAGATGTTTTTGAACCGCCGCCCCCCCGAAACCTCGCCGCCCCCCCCCCCGAAATTTGGGGTCAGCTACGGCCCTGCCCGACGGTGTTGGAGAACGGCAAGTATACCGTTGGAAAGAGGGTTCAAAATGCTACCTTCTCAACGGCTTGAAGCAATTCTATCAAGCTTCTTTACGCTGCTACCGCGGTTAGAAAAAAACGGCTCGAAATCGTCCGCCGTGTCCAACAACCTCGAAGGAATGCTACCAAACGAACCCCAATTGAGTTGCGAGCGGTTTGGCGCCGAGTTGTGGGAACTGCTCGAAAATGATGTTCATTTTAACTTGCATAGTAAAACCGGGTTGACCCGGTTTTCGGGCCGCGAGCGTCGGCCCGAAATTCGGGCGGCCCGGTTTTCGGGCCGAGAAGGTCGGCCCGGTTTTCGGGCCGAGAAGGTCGGCCCGGTTTTCGGGCCGAGAAGGTCGGCCCGGTTTTCGGGCCGAGAGGGTCGGCCCGGTTTTCGGGCGGCCCGGTTTCATACCCGAATTTCGGGCCAAAACCGGACCGGGCAAATTGCCCAACACTAGTCCCCGGGGTTCGGCTCTATACTGGCAGCGGAGATTTTTCTCGGAATCGGGGATTTTTCCCGGAATCAGGGATTTTTCCCCGGAAGGGGGGTTTTCCTAGGATCAGGGGTTTTAGCTAGGGATCGACGGAATCAGGGATTTTTCCCCGGAAGGGGGTGTTTTGCCAGGATCAGGGGTTTTAGCTAGGGATCGACGGAATCAGGGATTTTTGGCTGAGTCAGGAATTTTTCCCGGAATAAGGGAAATCAGGGATTTTAAAAGTGGCATCCCATACGATCCCACGCGGTACCGAAGTTTGCGGCAATCAGACGTTTCAACGTGTGTGCCATTTCAGTGCACAATTTCAGGCTTATGGCATGTCAGACAAGGCGGGCCGTCGCTTTGGATGGGCTGCCACTCCACTCTTACGAAATCGGGGCGCCTGGCCGCTTCGCGCGCCTTGCGCCCGATATCGAAACCATGTACGAGCTCGCACCCATCCGAAGCGACTAGGCCCCCGGTGGCACGAAGCCTTATTTTTAGGCTCAAACTGGGTGGCTGAAACTCTAACTGAATCAAACAGGTTTCAAACTTTGTTTGTAGCATCAAAACTTTATCACCGGTTTCCGGAGTGGAGGGTGTCTTGTCCAAAAGAAAGCGTTTGAGTTTGTCATTGCCCGGGATGTCCTTTCCGGAGGGTGTGCCGAAGAAGAAGGCAGACACGTGTACAGGCCCGTAGCGGAACCGAAATTTCGGGGGGGGCCCAAAAATTTTGGCGACCTCCCCCCGGTCGTCACTTTTAAAACACCCGGAATTCGCGTCAATAATAGCGCCGCAGGCAAAAAAAAATCGCAAATAAGCGTTCGCCTACACTCCAATTCATGTGAAAACACGGCAGAAAACGCGCCGCAGGCGAAAATTTTTATGAACAATTGATTCACCGATGAAAAACCAGCGCCGCAGGCAAAGAATTTTGAAAAAATAGGCTTCATATAAGTAAAAACTGTTTGAAAAACAGTAATAAACAGCGCCGCAGGCAGAAAAATTTTTGTAACTAAAAATCATAAGGGTCCCCCCTTATGAATTTTTCGAACCTCGACCGATTTCGGGGGGGGCCCCCCCCCCTCCTACGGGCCTGCACGTGTAAGCGTCAAACTACCGTCTTTTTCGGCATTCCAGACCTTTTAAATTCAGCTGATTTAGCCCCTCCGAAACACCAATTTTAAAATCCCTGATTTCGACAACCCCAAATATGGCCCATTTTTTTTAAAATCCCTTATTCCACGAAAAATCCTAGATCCCGTCGAACCCTGGCTAAAATCCCCGAATCCGGGAAAAATCCCTGATTCCGGGGAAAATCCCAGATTCCGGGAAAAAGCCCTGATTCCGGGGAAAATCCCCGATTCCGGGGAAAATCCCCGATTCCGGAAAAAAATCCGATTCCGGGGAAAATCCCCGCTGCCGGTATAGAGCCCCGAATTCAATCCCGGGAACCCGAAATTCATTCCCGTGATGTCGTCCAACTATTCCGAAAATTTTTATCGATTCCCTGAAAACAATTCCGGGAATATTTTAACAAATTCGCGGTCCACCCGTGAAAAACTTGGAACCAATGTCCGGGAACCGGGAACCAATGTCCGCATTGCCCAAAAATTGCCCTCTACAACGTCGAAAAATTCCTCAAATTTTTAGACGTTGTACGGACATGTACGTGGACGTTGACGTTGTACGTGTAGGCTTACAAGGAGATTGAGTGCGTCATTTTTTTATGCCACAAAAAGTGCCATTTTTCACTTTTTTTTCTTAGCGAATGACTTTCATTTTTCACTATTCCGGTATTGGACTGTTTGCGCGGGCGGGGGATTGCCAATTTTGCAAGAAAGTTCTATTGTACGTGGCCAGTGCAGCTATTGACTGGCAGAGGTACGATTACCTGAACGTTCGATTGACGCGTTGCAGTGCGAGGAGTTGAGGGATCGTTAGTCGGTTGAGTATGAGCGAGATCGCCGGCTCGGGCAGTTTGTTGATTGGGAACCCACCATACTCTGCTCGACTTATCCCATACCGTAACCAGTTGTACGCGGACACCAAAGGCGCGAAAATCCAACTACACCAGACCAACATC